CTCCACCGGCCTTTTTGGACGATCATTCTTCAACACTGTTTTAGGATCCTTGTCATGGACAACTTGTCCCATAATGTCTGCATTTTTTATATTACTTGATTAACAAACTGAATGTTCACAAACACACAAATATAATGTAACCATACCAATCCTAGTTTTGTCGTCAATAAGATCTTGCGCTTGCAATGCCGCAAAGGAGACCAAAGTAAACGTTCTCAAAGGGAATGGAATTTGGATTTCAAAAGCCGCAGTTTTCTTGAAAAACGCACCATGTACGCACTTGCAATTGTTTTAAAAACCATTAAATTTTCCTCAACCATAAAAATCCTTGACTGCAAAGATTCGGCCTTCCCTGAAAAGGTTAAAAAACTGGCCAACAAATTGATTCGGGATGTGCGTGTGAATCTTCGACCCCTATCATTTTCGAAATAGTCAGCAATAATGAAAGGGAAACATCCTGTTAAAAAAAATTATCAAATTTCCCAACCTGTTCGTCGTGAAAGACAACCTCCATTGATGGTGGGAATCTTTCATGGCAGGCTCACGATACACTCTAGTAGCTCTGGCCTTTATGGCCCATGTGGTTTTACTTTGATCAATGTCGCAAATAAAAAACCACATACCAACCATTCTGAGATAAATATTGTCGTTGCTTGCTATGAAAGAGTAAAATAAGGAAGGGTGTAGGAAATTTGCTCCGGAAGGTGTCCTTTTATAGCTGAGAAAACCGGTACAATTACATACGAATTTTATGTCTCATACCATGTACTATTCACACCTCTCCCATCAACCAATAGCACGCATGGAAGGAAAAAAATCCAAACAGGGTTGTTGTCAACAGTCCCCACCACACGAATGCCCAATAAGAAACCTTTGTATTGCGGCTCTACAATGCCACCGTAAACCTTGGCCAATAAGAATTCAGTTTCCTTTAATTTTATTTGTTGTCCGAACCCATAACACCACAAAAAACGAGAAGACATCTTAACGTGTAAAATGAGAATTAATCTCAGCCGTCCAAAGTGTCGATCTGATGCACAGTAACTCCTATCTGATGAAAAGTACATCAAACAAGGTCTGTTCGAAAGTGCATCAGATAGGGGTTATTGTGCATCAGATTGACACCTTGGACGGCTGAGATTAATTCTAATTTTACACGTTAAGACTTTTTTATTTGATCCACATTATATATATATATATATATATATATATATATATATAAACAACACAGTTGTTTTCAATTCCACATTTGACTGACTTCCCAATTAATTTTTTAGCTGAAAATTGGTGGGTATTGTTGGTCCAAAATAGGACGCTCGCAGGCTTTTAGGAAAGCTACGAAAGAACACTCAAGCAAGAATCAGAATATAATGCGAGAATGGAAAGTTGCTCAGGAATTTTAGTTGCCAAGAATAGCATGTCTGTATTTGAATCACGACTTGCCTTTTATAGGCTGTTTACAAATGGTAACTGTCGAATAATAATGGCTAAATTAATTACATCATTAATACGGAATTAAATACATAATTAATAGCGCATTCATTGTTGGCCGTTACTCTTCGTGGCTGGCTAGCGGGTCGGCATGGCTGGCCGGCCGGACGCTTGAGCCCCTTGGACGGCAGGCTTGGAAGGCAGGCCCCCTGCTGGGCCGGAAGGCAGGCTTCCGGTTGGGCTGGTGGGCAGGCCATCTAAGGCCTCCACTCAGTTGGACCTTCGTTCCTTGATGGGCTTGATCAAATGGGCCGGCTTGAGATCTGGATTGCTGGGTCCGTTGGTTGGGCCTATTGATCCAAGTTCGGGGCCTGGGCCAATTAGGCATTGGACCTAGTCCCATAACCCCATCAGGTATAATTTCATTAGCTTTTAGGGATTGGACGCTCATAATTTATCCCTTTTTTCCTCGTCTACACATTCTCTTCATGGTCACGGCCATTCTCTTTTCACCATATTTTCTATTATTATTTTTATTCTTCTTTATCGAAACCTGCTACTCCCTCCGTTCTCCAATACATGTCTCTTATTTCATTTTGGGATGTTCTTAAATAGTTATTCCTCTTTTTTTGAAAGTTTTTTCAATAAATATACCTATATACCCCCATTTCATTTCATAACTTTTTATTCTCTTTCATACTTTTTTTATTTAAACACAACCTACTACACCTTTTACATTACTCATATTACTTTTCTCTTAAAACTCGTGCCAAAGCCTAAGGGGACAAGTATTAGAGAACGGAGGGAGTATATAGCACTACGTATATACGGAGTACTTACAATAATATTCTTTTAATTTTTTTCTATCGACCTTTGTATTTGATATTTTGTATTATTTGGCTATGGATATATGCACTAGAGAGCAATTGCAGGGGATGGTCTATTATTTTCTTCCATTTTAGATTTGAAGGATGTTGAATACCAAAATTTGAAATTGGTTTGTAAATGAACCTCAACTTTATTTTCCTCGCTAGTGTAGAAAATTGTCACTCCCAATTGATATGGTGCAACTATGATCATAAATTGTTGTAGAGAATTGTCACTCCCAATTTCGTAATTAATAAAAATGGTTTATTGTCAAAAAATTAATAAAAATGGTTTAACAAGTTTTACTGTTAAATTTAATTTTAAAATGTATGATACATATATACATTTAGTTAGTAAACAAAAAATTAATTAATGTCCTTAAAAGTTACTTAACAAGTTATAAGCCAATTGTGTATAGTCATTGAACCAAACACCATTTTACAAATTGCTAATACTATCGGCCAGTCAAAATATCCAATAGAATCGGCTATCATCAATCAGCTAATACAATCAGCCAATAGCCAACGGCCAACAACCAACCACAAACTGCCAACCATCAACTGCCAATTCCAAATACCCCTGGAACTCACATCAACCACTCGAGCTATCCATACAGGGGCTATCTTTGCACCTTACTTTTTGTAGCTTCCACATTGTCTACTATTGATAGTAAAAAGCATTTTCAAAGTATAGACTCTAAGCGTAAAACTTATAAATATGAGTGCAAAAGAGTTCAGTTGAGCTTGATAAGAATGTAGCGGCTTGAGCTCAAATGACTTAGGCTTGGGCTTGGGCTTGGCTCAAGCTCGACTCGGATCAGCTCAATATTTGCTCATTAGGTTTTATCAGTTCGAACTCGAATAAGATGCTTGAACTTGAGTTCAGGCTAAAAATATTTTCTTCCCCGAAATTATTAATATTATACTTGTATAAATAAATAAAAAAACAAACAAATAAATAAATAATACTATGTAGTATACACACACAAACACTCTCACACACACAGATATATATAGGATGATGTTCATGTAAGGTAGACCTAAAAGTTACAATTCTTAGGCCTCTTTCATTTGAGATTCTTCCGGATCAATTTTTTTGAAAAAAAATTTGTGAGCATGTTGTCCATGAAGTTTAAATTATGTCCACTAAATTTTATATTAAAATTCAACCGGGAAGATAGCTAAATAAATTATTGAAAAAACGGCAATTTTAGGCCTAAAAAACTGTGCAATTTTCAAAAATTTATTTAACTAACTACCCGATTTAATTTTAATCTAAAAATTGGTAGACATAATATAAACTCCACGGAAAACATACTCATAAAATTCAATAAAACAATTCTACCCGGAAGCAACTCAAATGAAAGAGGCCTAAAATTGCAGCTTTTAGGTCTACCTTATATGAACATCTCTCTCTCTCTCTATATATATATATATATATATATTATTTATTTATTTATTTATTTATTTATTTATTTATTTATTTATTTATTTATTTATTTATTTATTTATTTATTTATTTATTTATGGATCGCGAGCCACGGACTAAGAGAAATTAAGCTCGACCTCGGCTCAATTTCTTAACGAGCTGGGTCAAGTTTGAATTTGATTGCAGTCGAGCTTTGAACAAGCGGGTCACGAGCAGCTTGACTTGTTTACACCCGCTACTTGTAACTAGAAGAGCATTGGGAGAGACTACAAAATTAATAGACATCACCATTTTTCCGTAAAACATGGGCACTTGCTAAAAAGTATTCAGTTTACCTAGTTCATAAGGAGTAATATAAATTGAGTTTAAAAAAATATACATTTTCCTTTGAGTTAAACAAATATGAATATATTCTTAAATTAAATTTCTTTAACTTGTTATTTTCTTATCTCATCTCTTTCTCTATCATTTCATATACTTCTTCCATATTTAAAAGATCTCTAAGTTAGGTTATGACACAAGATTTAAGGGAGAATAGTAGGGGTAATGAATTGTATAGAAAAAGTAGGAGAAAAGGTGAAAAAATAGGAAATAGAGGATAAGATGTAGAAAAAGTAAGAGTAATTGAGTATTTTTAAAGAAAAAAATTACAAAAAAGGAAAAGTGTAGGGAACTTTTAAATACAACCAAAAAAGAAAAGTATAGTGAACTTTTAAATACGGAGGGAGTATATTTTTACGAAACCATCTTACTTTTCTTATTTTTGAAATTAAAATTGTAAAAAATCAATTCGTTATTTATTTCGTACAAATTCGGGGTGAGCGTATCGGTTGTGGTTCGGTTTGAAAAGGATTGAGAGAATGATTACTAAACAAAAATCATACTATCTTTCGGTTTGATTCGGTTCAATTTGATTTAGATTTATTTTTTAAAAAAAAATATGAAGATTCTGTTCAATTTTATTGGAATTCTCTCGATTTCGGTCCGATTTAATACGATTTAAAAGAAAGGCTACATAACTCAAATCAAATTGTATATGATTTGATTTGGATTCAAGCTAAGCCGGTTTGGCGTTTGCTATGACTAGGTTAAACCAAACCTTCCTATTACAAACGGGTTCAGCTCCTCTCCATTTCTTTCTCTCCATTTCCCCTCCATTTCTTTTTTACTTCCTATCTATCTCTACTTTTTTCTCTATTCTACTCACCAACTACCCCACCCTTAATTCTTTGCTCTCTACATCTCTCATACTGGAACTCTCCAATTACTACTAGAGAGGATCCAAATTCATTACAAATGCATTTTAGCCTTTTAGGAGGTAAAGTATCCATATGCGACCTAATTTCATTTTCAACAGTTGGGCTCAAGCGCAAATCAAATTCTTTCAAGAAAAGATTTCCATCTGCTCCCATTAGGCTTTAACCTTCTCTTCTATGCCAGAAGGCCAGAATCCCCCATTCTTCCATTTCCAGGTAGGTAGGTTTTCTCTGTACTCCATGTTCAGTTTTCCAGGTATTTTCTATTCAACAAGGTGAGGTGTGTAGTTGATAGGGCCATGTTATCCGGAGATTCCGGGACTGTGATGTTGGTCTATGGTGATACATCAGATCAGAGATCTTTCTCCCCAGATGACACAAGCAGCACTGAGGAATCACCAGAGCAAACAAACTTGTCCTTAGTGACAATGAATGATTCAATTCCATACAAGGGGCAGAGATTCCCAACCCATGACGCTGCTTATGAATTCTACACCGCGTTCGCGAAACAGTGCGGCTTCTCAATCCGAAGGCACAGAACGGAAGGCAAAGATGGGGTTGGCAAAGGACTCACGCGGCGCTACTTCGTCTGCCACCGCGCAGGAAAAACTCCCGCCAAATCTTCGGCTGAAAATAAACCTCAAAGAAACAGAAAATCCTCCAGGTGTGGATGCCAAGCTTACCTGCGTATAAGTAAGAACTCTGACCTTGGGGTTCCTGAATGGGTGGTCACCGGTTTTGCAAACCACCATAACCATGAACTCTTGGAACCGAACCAAGTACGTTTCCTTCCCGCGTATAGGACCATTTCCGATTCAGACAAGAGCCGGATCCTGATGTTTGCAAAAACAGGAATCTCTGTTCAACAAATGATGAGGCTCTTGGAGCTCGAGAAATGTGTGGAACCCGGATATCTTCCCTTCACTGAGAAGGACGTTAGGAACTTGCTTCAGTCATATAGAAAGGTGGACCCCGAGGATGAAGGCATTGATCTACTGAGGATGTGTAGAAACATTAAGGAGAGAGATTCTAACTTCAAGTATGATTTCACACTCGATTCAAACAATAGATTGGAGAACATTGCTTGGTCATATGCTTCGTCCATCCAGTCATATGAGGTTTTTGGTGATGCCGTGGTTTTTGATACAACCCATTGCTTGACTGCTTTTGATATGCCTTTGGGAATATGGGTTGGAGTGAACAATTATGGGATGCCTTGTTTCTTTGGCTGTGTACTTCTGCGAGAGGAAAACGTGAGATCATTTTCATGGGCATTGAAGGTAATAAGCAATTTTCCGGTTTAAAAAATGGATCCTTATGCTAATAAGGTTCCACTGTCTGTAAATATAAAATATGATTTATCTATAATAAGGTTTGTTTGTGTGTGTAAATCAATAGGTATAAATAAAATGTTTGAATAATATCTAAAATTGATTTTTGTGTTTGAACCGATTTTTTACATTTCCTCAAATTTTCGTCATTCTCTTTTCCCAGCATGTAGCAGGAATGTGGGATCCAAATGGAGCCTTATGCTACTAAGAATGAACCAGTGTTGATTAACCTCTTTTTTTTTTTCTTTCTAAATGCGGAAGGCATTCTTGGGGTTCATGGACGGGAAAGCCCCTCAAACTGTGCTAACTGACCAAAACATGTGTCTCAAGGAGGCAATAGCAATGGAGATGCCAACGGCTAAGCATGCCCTCTGCATATGGCTTATTGTCGCGAAATTCCCTTCATGGTTTAATGCCGTTTTAGGGGAGCGATACAGCGAGTGGAAAGCTGAGTTTTATAGACTGTACAACTTGGAATCGATCGAGGAGTTTGAGTTGGGTTGGAGAGAGATGGTGAATTTGTTCGGACTGCATACCAATAGGCACATTGCTGGTTTGTTTGCCTTGAGGTCACTGTGGTCACTGCCATACCTAAGAAGCCATTTCTTTGCAGGAATGACTACGGCTAGCCAATCAAAGTCAATCAATGCTTTCATTCAACGATTTTTGAGTGCCCAAACTCGGCTTGCACATTTCGTGGAGCAGGTAATGTTTGGTCAATTCGCAATAGTTATGTGTTACTTTTACATTCTATTGCCCCTCCTAGTGTTTTTTAGAACATGGCTACTGTTAGAGACTCAACACTCCAGCAGAATTCATTAGCATATTCAATAACAATTCTGATGAATTATCAGAGCTCAGGAAACTACAGCAATGGCAGAAAAATATAGAAGTGCTAGAGCCTAGAGGACAGATTAGTGATAGGATTCGGGCCTATTAATCTAATAATAGAAATATTAATAATTGTACAGGTAGAATAAATAGAAGGAAAGGGAGGAATAAAGAGGTTGGAATGTTGGATGTTAGACAGTTAATTGGGACTGGGAGAAACTGAGATGAGTTGTCTTGTTTCTTGGGAACTCTATGTACATTTCCACCATTAATGAAAGCTTGTTAGTTTCTTGAATACTATTTTCTTTTCTTTGAAATCAATACCTACCTGTGAGAGTTTTGTCAGTGGTATCAGAGCACGTCAATCACTGTGGATGGTCTTTACTCGTGCGCAAATGGATTTACGAGTGAACGAGCTGGGAAAACACAAGAATAAAACTGAGGAAACTTTGGCAGTTATACATGCGACACTCGCGATCTTGGTTGGTAGAGACCAAAACCGATCGAGGAGCAGATCGCATGCTTTGCACACATCGCATTGCACTTCACATCACAGACATGTTAGAAACTCGGCTAGTACAGAGGGATCAGAAGGTAATTCCGATTATTTTCTTTCGCATCAAGAGCATTGACCTGGAGACCGATCGAGGAACACTAGGCATCATCCGCGATCTGACAAACAAAGTTGGTTGCAGTCGCTCACCAGTTCGCAGACTGAGTCACCAACTGCTTTTCCTAGTTCGCAGTCGCGAACGGTTACTCTTAGTTCACAACCGCAAATGGTTTCACTCAGTTCACAGACATCGTTGCTAAGCGCGCAGGTTCCATCTCAGTCGCAAGCTACTTCTTCCGGTCCTCTGGCTTTGACGCGAGCAGAAGTCCCCAGTTTGCAATCTCTATCCGAGTCCCCAGATTCGCAGCAGAAGTTGGTTAATCAGCAGCAACCGTCCATGGAAGATACGCACACCTATGGCGACGAGGACGCAAGGAGAAATCGTCAGCAGAAGCTGGAGCATGAAGCTGGAGCAATTACTTGCTTCCTCACTTGTAACACCCCCTCCAGGTACGAGTTCGTTAATTCAGAATCGGAAACCAATATGCTCGGGCTGATTGAGCGTAGCCCTCCAATTGATGATTCATTCAAGTCAAGATAAACCAGGCTGGGAAATCAACCACTACATCTCAAGGTATTTACCTGAGAGGGATTAATACTTGTAACCAATCAACCGAGTGGACAGTTGAGGTTCAAACAAGGTTTCATGAGGATGCAAGTAATTTAGAGCAATTGATTCCATTTGAAGAATGTATTCATTCGCATGCTACTGGAGATCCAGTGGTTAAACCTCTCAGTACCTCAACCCTAACTGATCTAGGGAAGGCTGTGTTTCTTGTAACTGATGTGATTATAGGGATGAAGTGGTTGGCCTTCTTGGGGAAATTAGAGGTTAGTGTCAGGAAATTCAGCGGAAATGACATTGAACCTCACTTGGAAGAAGAAGATAATTCGAAGTGGAACATTCTATAAATTCAGCAGTTAACGATGATGAATATAGTGTGGTTGGAACTGAGGAAATAGTTTCTGTAGCTGCTGAATTTATTAGTTCCAATTGAAATTAATTGACTTTTAGACTTTCTATCATCTACATATGTCGAGCTGAAATTGCATAGAGTAGGAAGTATAACTCTCCTAAACTCGCTTCCCATGTTATTGTTACTACTCCTCATAATGTATTTCCCTTAATTTTCTTGAGGGTCCATTTAGAATCTAGAAAATGATAGGGGATCAAGTCATCAAACTAAATAGTGAAATTGGCCGAAGTTAAATTTGGGGGGACTGGGGGAATAAAAGATACACGCCAACCCAATATGTTTAGTATAGAACTTTAGATCTTCATTCAAACTTGCTTTATTTACTTAAATTATATACATAGTAAATACTAAGAAATCTGAATATATGTAAAAACAATTGGAAAATTAATCAGTTTTCATTTTGTATTTTCGTAGGTATGGCCAAACCTAAGAAAATAATTTTCAGTAGCTTTTGCAACTGAAATTTATCATTTTCTGGAATCCAAGCATACCCTAAGGCTGACCGCAACCCGCAACCGTCAATAAATCAAATTTCACACTACTTTATACGTATTCACAATGTCAATTCAATTTTTGCTGCAATCCAACCGCCGTCAATATATTATATTACAATTTTTTTTTTTAACTTTATACATATGATATTGATATCATAGGAAAGATAAAAAATTTTTAGGAATTTTGATATAATTTTTGAAAAAAATTAAATTCAAATAAATAAGTTATAACATTTTTTAATAAAAAGAGATTTTGTTGTTGTTGGGGTCCACACTATCTCTCTGCATCATATCAACTTCCCCATTTTTTCTTCTACAAAGTCCGTGAATATGGGGTGCCATGTTCTCCCTCCCTTGGGTGTCATTCTACCAATTTGAGACCACCAAATACATGGATTGGAGGAGTTTTAAGAGTGAATATGCTAAATTTAGTTTTTCACTGCGAGGGATGCGGACAGCCTAAGGGCCCATTTTGCAACTGGGAAATTGCCAGGGTAAGAAAATAATGGGATTTTGAAGGAAATAAAGTTTTGGTGATGAATACACACTGGTTTAATCTTCATCATCATCATCATCATCATTTACCCCAGTGCCGCAAAGGCTCCCACCTATGGTGGGGTAAGAGGGGGTCGGATGTACGCAATCTTACCCCTGTATTAAAGCACAAAGAGATTGTTTCCGGATGACCCATAGTGAAAATCGCGTCCAAAATTGCATGGACTGACTGCTGCTTCATAATAAAGAAGTGCAGATAGTTTAGTGAGCCATTTTGCTTTATTCCATCATATTCTCAAGCCAAAAAATAGTGAATCTTTGGTACCATGGCAAATGATGGAAATACATTGGTTTAATCTTAACAAATCAAATCTAGATATTTTTGGAAGCTCTTTTTATTTCTCTATTCCAACTTTATAGAAACTAGAAATGAAAATACATGTAAACTTTTAAAAGTGTTTTATCAAATACGAGTCCCTACCTATTTTCAATTGTCAAACCAAACACTTGAAAAAAATCTTCGCATTTTCCCCTTCCCATATCATTTTCTGTGTTCCAAATGGACCCTGAGTACTTGGTGTAAGAATTAGATTATGATTAGACTGATGCTTTTGAACTTTGAGGCCCCTTCCCCCAATTCATTCATCATTAATTAAATCCCTTTTTTTGCCCATTGAAAGTTGAAAGTCTGAAACCAATAACTTTGTCTTCACTAACTTTTTGTTGTTGCATAATAATAAGGTGGCAGCTGCAGTGGACTTTAAGGATCAAATGGGAGAACAACAAACCATGCAGCAGAATCTTCATAACATTTCCCTCAAAACTGGGGGCCCCATGGAATCTCACGCCGCCACAGTTCTCACCCCTTTCGCCTTCACCAAGCTCCAGGAGCAGCTCATCCTCGCCACACACTATGCGTCCTTTCAGCTGGAAGACTGTTTCCTTGTCAGACACCACACAAAAGTCGAGGGTGGACGGAATGTTTACTGGGCCCCGCTGGAAGGCATCATAGGGTGCAGCTGCCAGCTGTACGAGTTCTCAGGTATACTTTGCCGGCATGCCCTTAGGGTTCTGTCAACCGGAAACTGCTTCCAGATTCCAGAGAGGTATCTGCCTCTCCGGTGGCGAAAAATCAGCTCTGTCCAGACTAACCAGAATTTGGACCACATGGAAAAGGTTCAGTGTCTGCAGAGTTTGGTTTCGAGTCTTATTTCGGAATCAGTAAAGTCAAAAGAACGGCTCGAAATGGCGACCGAGGAGGTGTCCCTCCTTTTGTCTCGGCTACGTGAACAGCCGGTTGTTTATTCGTTGTCGGTGGTGAAAGAATTGTCATCAGCATCCATTAAAAGGTTTGCTTGACTTGGATTTCTGAACATTCGAAAACTTAGAGCCCATCTGGCAAGGTTTGTTTGGCTGAATTGGTTGGTAACATCAAATTACAAAGCCAAATAATGAAGTCAACAGTTACTTATTATGCTCGTTCTGTTGATAAGTCGATCAGGTAGAATAGGCGACTTTTGGCCACCAAACGGAGCCGTAATCCACGTTAGAGTTCTTGTAGAAATCAGGGACATGAAATTATGAAGCAATAGTTTTGTGCAGTGAGTGCTGGCTGAGTGTGTGTATATACATTTATTTTGACTAGACATTGAAATTTTGTCCTTCAAACAAATATATAAAGTTGCTGTCACTGCAGAAGGGAAATGTTCTAATTTTTTGTTACTTCCCATTGTTTTATGCCACTCAATGATATTTTGGTTGCCTGTCTGCTAAATATACAGAATAACAGAAACGAAGAAATCCATCTTCATTGATGTCTCTGGCATTTGGCGCCGCCGTTTCTTTTTGACAGTCTCTTTTATTCTTTTTCATTTATTTACGGATATTCAATTAATCCATTAAGCCATGTATTTTAACTTTTTATCAATTACGTCCATTAATCCATTAAGCCTTTTTTAATTTTTTTCATTTATGTAAATTTCATCAAAACTGATTTTTGGTAGGTAATCCATCAATCAGCAGGTTACATGTTAACGACTTAACGTGGTGCACATGTGGTATGACACATGGCGCACACGTAACGGCCCACATCACTTTTTCCATTCTTCCTTTGTTTTTTTTTTTCCTTTACTGTCTCTTTCCTTGTTCCCTCTTTTCTTCTTGAAATGTTGGCCTCTTCTTTTTCTTTCTTTTTTCTTTCTTCTCCGTCCACTTTCTCTTCTTTCTCTTTCCACGTTGTTTTTCTACTCCCCGGCCATTGTAGGGGTGGACTGGTTCCGGTTCCGGTTCCGGTTCGGGCCCGGTTCGGGCCTGGGCCCGGCCGGGCCTCGGTTCAGAAATGGGAGGCCCGGAACCGGCCCGGGTAATCCCGGGTCCGGGCCGGGCCGGGCCTCGGTTCATTTTTTTTGGCTATTCCTAATTAACCCCCAACCCTCCCCCCTCACCCCCAAATTACCCCAAACCACCTCAAATGACCCAAAATACCAAGCCCAACCCAAAAACTTAAAAAAAATTTAAAAAAAAAAATATTTTGGCCCGAACCGGGCCCGAACCGGCCGGGCCGGTTCGCCAATCACAGGGCCCGGGCCCGAACCGAACAGTAACCGGGCCGGGCCGGCCTGAACTGCCCCCCGGACTGGTTCCCGGGCCGGGCCGGTTCAAACAGTAACCGGGCCGCCCGGCCCGAGTCCATCCCTAGGCCATTGGGCATCCACTTCTTGCAATCGGAAGAGAAGATGGCATCGGTCAATGGAGACAAAGATGACCAGCGACAAAGTCAATCAATGTCTCAATGACCGAGACAAGTGGCGACAAGGCGATCGGCGACAGATAGAGTGATAGTCAACTTAGCCTCCTCTCTTGCAAATGTCAGAGAAGATGCTAGCTCCCAATGGCTGACCAGATATGTACGCCGGTGTCCAATGCGCAGGCTAGTGGATGACCGATCCGTGTGCACCGGCAAAGCCACTCCAACTCAGTTGGTCATTCCGAATAAGGAGTGAATGGGTTAAAAGTTTGGGGAGGAAAGAAACCGAGTTACTCACCGAGAAGAAAGTGAGGTTGCTCAAGCAAGGTGCCTTCGATTGTTCAATTTCTTGCTTTTGTTCAAATTTCTGAATTTTTTGTTTTCAATTTCATGTTTAGTTTTCCTCACCTCTTCAATGATTATTGAAAATGTCAACCAATAGCTCTTAACCCGTTCGTCAAACAGTTCGTATACCATGGGATCATCCCACGGTGAGCATCATGCTCCACTCTCAAAACTACGTAGTTTTGCACAATTTTTTTTAAAAATTGTGTGGAACAGTACATGCATGTACAACATTAAAAAACATGCTTCATTCTTAACTCGCGTGTGAAGATATGTAGTTCACGTTGTTGTTCAATGTAACTCAAGTTCAGACGAAATGTAACTAGTCCAATACATAGTATAAGAAATAAAACATTGATTTCAACTTAAATAATGGAAAAAGAGAGTCTGACTGCACAATTACCTTACGTAAATCGTGAATATGTTTTGTTTTTAGTATCATGACCATCAAAAGGATTTAAAAAAAAATCATTTTATTTGTTTCAATAGCAAGATGTGATTCTTTTATGTAACTTATGTTATTACAAAGGAAAAACTACCAAATAAGTCCTCGAGCTTACATAAAAAGTGCAAACCACCCCTTATATAGGAGGTTCTTTCCGGCCGTCACCATTTAGGGTGGTTCCCGGTAGAATGTTTGATGAAAATTTTTTAGCATCTTTTTTTATTAAGTCTAGTTTACCCATACTAAATTTCAGCTAAAAAATCAACCTGGAAAGCAGTCCAATTATTTTCTTAAATATACTGCGATGTTCAACTGCGCGGTTATCTTCAAAAATTCATTTGACTGCCTTCCTGATTGCAATTTTAGCTGAAATTTGGTATGAGTAAACTAGACTTAATGAATATGATTCTCAAAACATTTCATCAAAAAATTGTATCGGGAACCTCTCCAAATGGCGACTGCCGGGCAGCGCCTCCTGTATAAGGGGTGATTTGCACTTTTTTATGTAAGTTCGAGGGCTTATTTGGTAGTTTTTCCTATTACAAATGTAGCTCGTATTGATGGAAAATGTAACTTAGGTGACTCACTTATAAAAAGTGTAACTCAAGCATAATTAGATGTAACTCGCACATAAAAATATGTAACTCGTGCATAAGAAGATGTAACTCTATGTAGTATCAAATATAACTTCAGGAATCATGTATAAATGTAACGCACACATATGAAAATGTAAATCGCACACATGAAAATGTAATCACCTGTTCTATCATATGTAAATAGAAATAAACAAACTTAATGTCTTAAAAAAACACTAAAAACATATAAAAGAGATAAGAAATTGTTTTACAAAAATATATTATAGAAAAAAGTAATTATAATCATATTTTTAATATTTTAATAATTAATAGTAGAGATGAGGATAATTGGAAAAAGAAAAAAGAAAGAAAAGAAGAAAGAAAATCGGTTCACCGCAAGAGAAAACGAAGGGGAAGCACGGAAGACAAGTTACTGGAAGCATGGGAAGAATAAAAAAACTGGGGGAGGAAGCCTTGCGAGAAGTCATTCTGATGGGTCGGAGAAACGGTCGGAGGAGAGAAAATATTAATTACAGAAACGGTACCGTATTGGGATCGATATACCATGCACATGTTGTGCCAATCCCACGATATAAGATGCCTTTGTCAAAAGGCTTCCTTGTATTCTTGAGCTTCTTTAGCTTATTAGAGTAATCTATTGACATATTTAACAATGGGAGAAAAAGAAAAGAAAGAAAAAGGGGTGTTGGCAGGTGCAAGAATAAAAGGGAAGATAGAGAATGGAAAGGAAAGAAAAAGAATAGAGATTAAAAGAAAAAATGCTTATGTCTACTATGTTTGCATGTACTCATTATCTACTAATTGTTTCACTAAATGTAGAAGATAATTGCATGTAAAAACTGAAGAAATGTTGAGTAAAATCAATGACAGGCTAAAAATGAATTTTTATATTTACTATTGTTACTGAAGTATGAGATATATAAATTACATATGTAAACTTAAATTTATAAACCACCTTTTTAATTTTACTTTGCATTTTCACAGGGAATCGAGCATAAGAGAGAGAGAGAGGTCTGCACTTCATGCGTGATAGGCTAAGTCTAAAAATTAATTTTAGATATTTACTATTGTTAGTAAAGTGCGAGACATCTATATTACATACGTGTTGTTTCTTCTCACACTCTTTTCCCATGGCAGAATCTTCCCAAAGCTTAACTGAATTGTATTAAATTTAGAGATAATATTTTAATCATTATTTGTTTGTTTGTTTGTTTCACCTTGAATATTAATTACATAATTGGTTATTATTTTAGGTTTACAATAGCATCACAAGAGATGAGGCGTTGCCAAAAGATGACATCTGTGAAGTGTTCGGGATGCACGGCCATCTATGTTTGTGAAATAGTAAACTTTATACTATACATAAAGAATGTATTTTAAGACTCATTTTTGTTGTATTGGATAATGGATATGTATGATGTTTGGAATTCTATAGAATGTATGCTACGAATATTCTAATAGTAACTAATATTCAATTTGAAGTTTGAGTGAACGTTTTCTAAGAATGATTGTCAATTTGTAATTGTAATAAAAAAAAGGCAGTTCGTTACTACATATTGGTGAGAGCATCTCTAATGCACCTGCTTTTAACAGTAAAAAATCCAGCCACTTAATGGCATACGAAAGTTTGGCAATTTTTTGCCTTCAATGCTTTCTTTATTCGGTAGAGTGATGCTGACCTGTCAAAATTAAATGTCAACACTTTGAGACCCACTTTCTCGTTCTTAATAGCCAGTTATAAAGGCTGAGTCAGCAAATCAAGCTCTGTAAAATTTATCCAAATCGTAAAATGGGCGCATTAAAATATTCAGTAATTTTTTTATGGCGCCAATCTCCTGAAAATATACCGCCAAATACATTTGCTAGAGAAGCACACGTTATATACTGATCCAATCTCATATTTAATCATCTGCGACCGTACTCTCTAGACGTCGCACACCGCCTTGTGTAGATTAGCAAAGCTTTTTACCGCATCCATTTTTGCCCTAGCTCCCTAATCTTGATCGATCTTATACCCCAATCCAGGAGTCCCACAATCATGATTAAAATGAGTTTTCTATCTTTGTGGCTGGATTGACCAGGTATTTGGAGATGATTTCTGAACTTTTTCTTTATTGGTATTCCTTTTTGAAGAGTGTTTGTCTCGGTAATACAAGATGAATTAATCTTCCAATATTGATCACTCTTTTTCTACATCGATTTTTTTTATTGATTCAATTAAGCATAAAGGATATCATCGAAATTGCGCTGGAACTGTATCCGTCTGAGATCGTACCTACCAGGCAGTTTATCTGGAACACTGCTATTGCGAGACTGGGACCAAGTATTATTGATTTTCTGGTAATATATACTTCATATATGAAGTCAGTGCTTTGCACAAAGTTCTCTTTTAACATTCTATCACACTGTAATAGATAGTATTGGAGAGAAATATAGCTTCATATTTGATTTATACCTTTTTTAGATTTAACCGTTAATTGGTTCAGTGATAGCTAGAAGAGTGACATCCCAGTCATTTACATAAAAGGTATAAACAAATTTCAACCAACAAAACCATACTCCACATTAGTTTTCCAATTTAATTTTTATATAAGATGTAATGATATAATACTGAGCATATTAAGTATAAAAG